TCTCCAACTTTCTACAGAAATTAATAAAAATTCCTTCTCGTTTAACTTGATAAAAATTTCCTTAATGTCCCCCATATTGATAACGTTATCGGTACAATATTCTTCAGGTACATTTATTCTCCTTTTATCGTATACGAGGTTTCCCTACAAGCTTTAGCATATGGAGTTTGGCAGGAGAGTTCATGAGGGATTGTCACGGCACTGGGGTTTCCGCACAATCGAGCGATTTAAATGCATTCCTTACGTCGACCGTGCGTCTTTCTCAAAGACATTGTCTTATCACAGACGACGATCACGTCGTTTCACGAAAAGGTTTCCACAGAATTTATTTTGATACGTTCACAAAAGATTCTTACCTTCGGCTTTTAGGAATCGAACGTCCAATTTTGTACGAAATTTTAAATCTTCAAGTAGGCAAAATTATTTCTTTACTTTGCAACAGAAAATTACCAAATAATTTGACATTTGATTGAAAATAAATTCAAAAAATTTCCTAGACTTAAAAATTCCCAATTTCCATATCTCTAGATTGCAATATTTTGAAATTGCAAAATTCTACAATTCTGAAATGTGTACATTAAAAAATCCATAGATTTGACAAATTCTCTAGATCTGAAAATTCCTTAGATTTGGAAAATTCTCCAGATTTGAAAATTTTCTAGGTACGAAAATTCTTTAGATTTGAGAAATTTCCTAGATTTGAAAATTCCTTAGATTTGAGAAATTTCCTAGACTTGAAAATTCCCTAGATCTGAAAATTCCTTAGATATGAAAAATTCCTCAGATTTGAAAAAAATCCCTAAATTTGAAAAATTTCCTAGATTCAGAAAATCTCTACTTTCAAATCCCCAAACTCCAAAACGTAAAAATTTCTGAATTCTGTAATTCCAAAATGCCTAAATAAAAAAATCCCTAGATGAAGAAATCCTCATATGTTAATTCCCCTAATCCCATATCCCTCTAAATTTTATTATCTCCATCACAGTTCCCTAATTTTCTTTTTTCCAAAATTCGCCAAATCACAATACCCCAATTCCGAAATCCCAACTTCTAAATTCCGGAAATATACATTCATTTTCACTGCAGCATTCGATCGATATACCATTTCACAGAGAACGAAACGAAGTAACAAAAGGAAACATCGACGCGATTAACAGAATAACAATACGACTTTCTCACTATTCAATTAGCGATCCGTTCATCATATTTTATTATCGAGTGGATCTTGAGAACGGGCGAAACTTTTCTCCCGTATGGTGGAATTGAACGTTAGAAACTGAATGCAGACGTATACGGCAGTTAGACACGCGATACCTGCCGGGCAGAATTGTTCCGTTATGTGTTTTTTGTACATATCGACCGTTTAATTTCTGTCGTTTCACCTTGTACCAGTTTGCCTGGAAATGGTTCGGCTGAAAATCGCGGGAAGAAAAAGGACTTCCTCCGCGGTGATTCATCGACGTGTGCACTTTCTTATCAACGAGTAACATATGTACACGTTTTTACCCTGTGACGCGTGAAACGATATCGATAATTGCCGACTTAATAAGCGAAAAATATACCAATGACATAGTAATAATGAATTTGTTTTGTTAATACACGTTTATGGATTAATTAAACTGGAAACTGGTCCATTAATCGAGTGAAAGCAATGATGCATTTATGGATGGTGTTTTGTCGATTTCCATTCGATTCGGAGAAAAATCTTGCGCATCAACGTGGATTATGTGAGACATAAATTAACTCCTCTTTAGATACTTTTTGTTATCGGTGCTTGAGAGATTTATTACCTCGAGTGACTGAAAAACGTCGTTAACGAGTTAAATGTCGATATTCGTTCCAGTTAAATACCCATGGAATCGAAACGATCGGATGTTCGGTAAAGTAGAATGATCGAAAGTAAGATAATTTTAATTCTGAAAATTGTACATATAAGAATTGACATTTTGAATGAAATGTTATCCAACAAATACAACTCAGTACAGGAAAGAAATACCGTAAGGAAGTTATTTTGACGGCAACGAAAACGACCAAACATCACGAACGTTTCTCGCGTTCCTTTTCCGTGCCCAAACGTCAAAAAGTTTGCGACGGCGATAAATTCCTGATCTCGAAGAACAAACAAAAGTTACGTTGAAAAATACTGGTGAGTGTCGTGGAGTTCCTTCGAGCGGAAACTACAACACTATATTAAAGGAATTGTCTGGATCGACTGCACCTTGGAACGTAGCCAAAAGGTGCGAGATTGCTTCGCAGATTCCTTCCAGGGGGCTGCAATTCGATGCGGCCATAATTGCCAGGCTTTCGTGCCAAATTTAAGGCCGCCTTTTCTAGAAACGGTGTACCGCGATATAAAGCGATGCGATATTCAAGGCTGCTCGAGAGTCACGCTACCGTTGTAGGTAGATTCTAGGTAACCTACATTGTGATGGTCAAACATGGAATAATCAAAGGTTAGCTATATTTCCCAACAACTCTTGAAAATGATTCGAATTCCGTATAATTTTATGTTCGATAATAGGCTGTGTCTTAACCCCACAATTTCGTAAACCCCATTTTGATATAATTTGTATCTTTGTCAGAGACTAATATCGTAAATAAATTTCCCTCAAGGGTAATTTGAATTTCGAGATTCTCTGGAAGTACATTATTAAATTACTCTGCGCCGTGTTTCGCTTACAATGAAATTTCCAAAGCGTAACATCTCGAGAAAGAACGTCTCGGAGCAATTTTCGTCTGACACTCGTCGCTCTGATCCAATCATGGTCCCTTCGCGCATCATTCTTCTCGGAATCGTCTGATCCCCGAGTACCCTTTTCTCGTCCCGCAAGGCCACGTGGATTGCTCTGCGCGAGGATTCCTTCAGCCGGCTGATGACTGGTGGAGGGCGTAAATCAATTAGACGGCCATCGTGGTAGTTGTTGATACAATAAAAAGAAACGTGACGTTGCCTTGTGGCTCGCAGGAAATGAGGAACGATGCGAGAACCGGAGGGTGACTGGAACGTGTCTCGACGGCAACGAGCATTTCCGCATTTCTGGATTATTTTTATACTGACCTTCTATCTTTAATCAGATAGTCTAGCCGTACGTATCATGCTAGTCTTAATTGATTTGCCACGCGATTGCAACTGACGTGTTCGATTAACCTTTATTTTCTACTATTAGCAACGGTAAATTTTATTCACCGAAAATACCTTTTCTACCTACAAATTTTACGACTTTTGTGTCAAATTTGGGAATCTAGACAATTTTTGGGATCGAGAACATTTGGAGAATTTGGGGAATTTTGAGGATCTAGGGAATTTTGGGGATCTAGAGAATTTTTGGAATCGAGAAAATTTTGGGGATCTGGAGAATTTTGAGGATCTAAGGAATTTTGTGGATCTAGAGAATTTTGGGGATCTAAGGGGTTTTGGGGATCGAGGAAATTTTGGGGCACTAAGGAATTTTGGGGATATAAGATGTTTTGGGGATCTAGAGAATTTTCGGGATTTAGGGAATTTTTGAAATCTAGGAAATATGATGGATCTAGGAATTTTCTAGGGCTAGGGAATTTTGGGGATCTGAAGAATTTTGGGAATCTAGAGAGTTTTTGGGATCTGGGAATTTTTTAGTTTTCGAGGTCCAGGGAATTTTGGGGCTTGTGAATTTACGGAGTGCCGATTTTACATAATTTAGGGAATTTTTGGTTTTGAAATTTAGGGGTTCTACGGAATGTTGAAAATCTAGATAATTTTGGGAATTGAGAAATCTTCGATTTTGAGAATTCGAAAATTCGGAGAATCTAGGAAATATAGATACTCCAGGGATTTAAAAGGTCTAGGGATTTTGAGATCTGGGTAATCTAGGGAATTTGGGAATGTAGGTAGTTTCATAATTTTGAGTGATATAGGGAATTTAGAAAGCCTTGTAAAGTTGAGGTATATAGAAGATGTAAGGAATTTGAAAACTTGATCCTTCAGAAATATTTGCAAATTTACACCATCGAAGATTTGAAATCTTAAAAAATCATACAACGACGATACTTATAACATGAAACTTTGCTTTGAATATTATAGCTATCACTACTTTAACATCTTCAAACTAATATGAATATAATATACTTATTTCAAAGATTCAGTAGAGTTAATTACACCAGTCGCAAATATCAAATATTATGGTACCAGAGATACATTTACTTTGGACGTCTTCACAGACGTCCTCGCGTGCAAAACGTTTTACCACATCGTCAATTAATCCCGTGATGCATTAATTACTGCACATTTAAACGTAACCGAACGACGTTCGTCGAAAGTCGAGGATCGTTGAAGTGGCTCGAACCACTCGGAATAATGTAACTAATGCAGAGTGGTGCTTTAGCGACCCATCCATTCGTTCGTCCCGCCTAAGTGTACGTTGCACTTGTGCTCGTACGAAAGTTTTGCGAACGCGGATAACGGTACGATGAACTCTCTCGTAATCATAGATAAGAGTAACCGCGAGGAGATGAAGCGCAAACCACTTAGTAAATAAAATGAAACGATATTAATTATATAAAAGATTCGTGTATTATCCGTAACCGATAAATCTCCTGATACTGAGTCTCGTAATCTGTGCATCGGTATGCATTCATAAATTCATTCGTTGAGGTTTTGGTCTTTCATCTGAACCAACCATAATTTATCTTATCTTGTGGACGCCTAGTAACTTTGTTACTTTGACAGTTACAGCGCTGTTCTAAATGTAGAACCAAAATAAAATAATGTAGAACACCTTACCATTGAATTACCTACACAAGAATGTAAAAATATGTATTGTCACTAAAAAACATCAACGTGCCCTTAATATTTTATCTTCTATTAAAGTAGATCTCCCAATCATTTCTCTGTAAGGATATTACTACATAAAAATGATAAATTGCGCACCACATATTCAGTCAACATGTATGTCTCCACGGTAATACTAAGCGTACCTCATCATGCAAGAACCTGACAGACGTATTCGTTTGTTATATTACAGAACCCGTGATGCGACCGCCACCGAGTCGTCGGAATCGTTAGCAGAGGGCCGCGAAAAATGGCCTCGATCTTGGGAGACGGAACAGGCCCCGGAGGCTCGGGACCGTCCCGATGCCTCTTGCTTCTACAAAGGTCCCTGGCGATTCAGTTGACCAGAGGTCCGCCTCCTCAGGTTCTGAACGCCAGCCAACGGGAGAGTCCCAAAGAGCATCCAGCCGACGAGATGTGGATGTACGATAAAGGCTACAATTTGTTTCAGGTGAGTTAACGCGTTCCATATTCCCCTGCGTTATCTAGCTTCTCTAATCCCACCTACAGTATGTACATTCTACACATCTTTCTTTCTTCTTTTACTTACAGTTGACTGGACAAATTTACTGTTAATCATTATTCACTTAGGTATTTATATCGGAATGTGACAATATTGGAATCTAGGGATATTGGGATATGATGATGTTGGCGTCTAGGGCAATTGGAAGACACGGGGAGTTGTATCTAGGGATTTGGAATCGAGAGAATTCGGGGTCTAGGGAATTTGGGGATCTAGGGAATTTGGGGATCTAGGGAATTTGGGGTCTAGGGAATTTGGAGATCTAGGGAACTCGGGGATCTAGGGAATTGGGGATCTAGGAATTCGGGATCTAGGGAATTCGGAATTTAGTGAATTTGGAATCTATGGAATTTCGGATCTAGGAATTTGGGATCTAGGGAATTCGGAATTTAGTGAATTCGGAATCTAGGGAATTGGGGATTTAGGAATTCGGGATCTAGGGAATTCGGAATTTAATGAATTTGGAATCTAGGGAATTGGGGATCTAGGAATTGGGGATCTCGGGAATTCGGAATTTAGTGAATTTGAAATCTAGGGAATTTCGGATCTAGGGAATTCGGAATCTAGGAAATTGGGGATCTAGGAATTCGGGATCTCGGGAATTCGGAATTTAGTGAATTTGAAATCTAGGGAATTGGGCATCTAGGAATTCGGGATCTAGGAAATTCGGAATTTAGTGAATTTGGAATCTAGAGAATTGGGAATCTACGGAAATCGGGATCCAGGGAATTTGGAATCTAGTGAATTTGAAATTTAAGGAATCCGTGATCTAGGGAATTGAAGATCTAGGAATTCGAGATCTGGGGAATTGAGCATCTAGGGAATTTGAAATCTAGGGATGCGGGATCTAGGTAAAAGATCTAGCAATTGGAAAACATACGTCTGATCGCACTCTACAGACACTTCATCTTTACAGTATAATTTTGCTCATGCTAATAACATAAAATCGATAACCTAATTTATTCGACCAAGAACAAGAAGTTCGTGTACCGTAGAAATTAAAAATTGACGTCGAACATGAATCAAAATTGACTAGAATGGTGGAGGACGAGCGCGTTGACGTAGGCTCTTGTCAGAATAGAGGAGAAAAAATGAAAGAGGAAGGATTACGACACGTCGAATAGTTGGCAAGACTATAGAGAACATCCGCCACTTAGCTCGTCTCGTTCTATCCCCCCCGTTAAGTTTGCTACGCAAAATTGCTCGTAATTCATATTGTCTCATTCCGGCGTAACGGTGCATCCAATCAACGCCAATCTTACTTTGGAAACGCCGAGTTGTAAAAACCAGCGAACAGACGTAAGAGGAATGTATCGTCTCCTATGTCAAGCGTTTCCGAGAGTAATTTCGAGTTTTATACCGCCCTCGGTAACTCGAATAAAACGTCCATCCTCTGAGCCATGACGAAACGCACCGATTAACTTAAACGAAAAAGAGACGCAAAAATGTCTTCTACCGAACGTTACGTAATTGATTGAGATCCTACGCGAATCTCTTAACCTTGTAATTTGTACACTTTTTGTCACGTGACAAGGTACATGGGACACGAATGTTCGTACAAAAAAATGCTAGAGTACTCTGTGTTGATCAGTTGAAAATGTGAAAAGCAAAGTAATTGTTACTATGTATCAAGAAGCACGCAAAGTTCTATTTCATTATTGAAGAGAGTAGTTGGTGGTAGTAACGGAGACTGTCGACGCCAGGCAAAGGAAACAAAATTGGGACACGCCTTTCAACGGGAGAGCGCCCTTCAGATTCAATGAGCACTCGCCAAGGGTGGAGCACCCTCCGGGGAAAGTTAACCACGGCACCGTCGGAAAAGACTCGTCGATGGTACATAGTTTATGGTCCATTGCAAAAGCGTCTGGTTCGATTCACGACAATAGCATCCTTCAAGCGAGCGTAGCCGAGAGTCGCTCTTTGTTACCTGCGTCTCGTTGTGCCTCGACTTCCTCCGTTAACACCTGTCCTCGGATAAATTGCACTTACGGAACTTCTTTACACTTCGTGCTCGCGCAAGGATATCGTGAAAGCGTTAACCTTGAGCAAACGTTATAAACCCTTGGATCCTTGAAGCGGTTTGAAGAGCGTAAGGAAACTTCTTCACGGGTGAAAGTTGGGAAATCGAATCAGCCGAAAATTGGCGAGAAAACTTTCTCGGCGCTCGTGGGAGTGCCAAGTACTTTTTCTTCTTTGAAGATCGACGTTGCTGTTGGAACATTGTTCGAGGGGGAACGAAAATATAGATGAATCGGAAATGGAAGACGACCAAAAGCTGATCGACTATTGGGATATTCGGTCATTTTTCTTATTTTAGATTAAACTTTGATACGATTGCTATCTTTGAGGGAGACATTTGATATATTGCTATTATACTGATTATATTGTAACTCGTTAGATTGCCACATGATATATCATCACGCATCACGTTGTAAAACTGTACATATCAGCGTGCATTATATTGCAGAATGTTTCATGTTACCTCGTGTTAAATTGTCGCGAGTTATTATTACCTCGTGCTATATCGCCGGTCGTTATTATCGACTCGTGCTATATCGCCGTGCATTGTATATTGCTTCACATTATATCGCCGCGTATTATTATCATCTCGTGTTATATTGCCGCAAGTTATTACTAGCTCGCGTTATATCGCCGGTCGTTATTATCGACTCGTGCTATATTGCCGTGCGTTATATATTGCTTTACATTATATCGCCGCGTATTATTATCATCTCGTGTTACATTGCCGTAAGTTATTATTAGCTCGCGTTATATCGCCGGTCGTTACTATCGACTCGTGCTATATCGCCGAGCGTTATATATTGCTTCACATTATATCGTATTATTATCATCTCGTGTTATATTGCCGCAAGTTATTATTAGCTCGTGTTATATCGCTGGTCGTTATTATCGACTCGTGCTATATCGCCGTGCGTTATATATCGCTCCACGTTAAATCGCCACATATTATTATCATCTCGCATTATATCGCCGCATAATAATATCATCTCGCGTTATATTGCCATGCGTTGTATATTATTACACATCGCATATTACCAAGTGTCGCATTACCATGTGTTGCATTCTTAATGCATCTTATGTCACCATACATCATATATCACCGCGCTTCATACACAATCACGTGATTCACTATTATATATTATACATGGCCACGTGATATAATTATGCGTTGTATTTCACCACATATACTAACAACGAATTTGCACCATTGTAACACAATAGTCTTTGGTTAATTCTAAACTTTTGTTATATTGCCGTAAACGGAGCTAAAATAGTAAATGTGGCAATATAACAAAATTGTTCGATATTACTATTTAAAGTATTTAACTCCGCATAGCAGTAAACGCGTTAAGAGGAGTTAAACTGTCTTCCATTTTGCATATCATTGCGTGATCGCACCATATGAGAATTTTTCCTTCTTCCTTTCGCAACTTCCTCGAGGCATCGTGCCAAGAAACGCTGCAAGAACGCGGCTTACGTGCCGCTAAACGCGCGACACAAAGTACGACATTCTATTTTCCGTTTCCTGTTTCATAAACGCCAAAACGCACGGTGATTTAAATACCGGGGAACAGAAACGAGATCGAATGTTTGAAAACAAGTGCGCGTAACGTGGTGCTCGTACGATAACGATAAGAATAACGTAACACCCGGTGTGTCGGCGAGTATTGGATCAATGGACTGTAATTGGCAGACTAATTAGTGCCACGGCAGAAACCCGCTCGTTTATGGCCACTGTTATCGTTTCACAATACCGATATCGGTTTATTTATTACCGCGGTTAATTATTGTTCGACACAGTTCACTTTTAAGATGTTATCGTACTTTGAACGATCGAGCCGCTATAAAGATTTCATCTTGTTCGACTCGATTCGGTTCTCCTCGTCCAATATGACCGATAAACGTTGGACGCGTTTTAGATAAACATCGTGAACAAATCTAATTTTGTACTTTTACGTCGTAAATTCGAGTTAATTACGAGCGACCGAACTTTAGGACCAGCAGGGAAGTTACATGCTAGTTTCGAATCGACTGAAACAAATTCGCCAATTATTGAGACGTTAAATTAAAGCGGCTGGAACAGTTAAAAAAAGACGTAACGTATTATAATTAGTAATATCTGTGAAATGATCGGACATGAAATTAAACCTGTCCCGTCGAGTGAAAGCGCGACACGCGAGCTGAACGCTGTCACGGTGCACGGTGAATTTTGTTACGAGTTTCAAACGATAGAAGAAACGTGGTCGTTCGAGAATGAAAATAGAAAATTTCGATCATCTATTTTTTCTTACAATAATGTAAAATACATATTGACGTAATTTCGATTTTTGCGCGAATAGACCAGTTTCGAATCGACACATGTTACGTTATCATGAATTCAACGGCCACGTGTCGAATGCACAATGCGTTCCATTCCTCGCGTATTGTATTAATCACGCGTTATATTGCCACGTACCATATTCATGCGTTATATTTGACACGCGTATTCAAATCACCCTGTTCTTTGCGGACAGCTTCTGGAAACAATGTTCGGTGTGATTATAAACAGGTCGAATTGCGACGCGTACGCATAGGTACTCCATTACAGCCAGCGAGTGAAACGTTCTTTCGTTTTATTGTGGATATTATGCCAGGAGCACACATACTTGCAATACGTTTCACGTCTAAGCGTGAAACGCGATCTTTGCAACAAACACCATTGCACGACGGCAACGCGGCGCAACGTGCATCTCTTCGGATGCACCGTGTGGAATCGTGTTACCCTCCGGTACAGATGAACCGTACGCGGAAATGGCTTGTAAATAGAAGCAAAACCGCTGGATTAATATAAATATTGTGGTCGAACGATCTACGGAAAATATCCGATTCGAAAAACAAAGCTTAACACTTTTAATCTTTGCAAAAAG